CAAAGTTGAGAGTGGGTGTGATGTAATCAACGTTTTTAGGAGTAAAATTGAAAAGATTTAGAATGGAGGCATGACCATAGTCACTGTCTCTCCATTGTGAGGTAGCTTTTAGTCTTAAAGCAGATGAAGCTGCCATTTGTTTACTAATAATATCCATTGGCAGTAACTGAAGCATCAAATCTAGTGCAATGGATGGTGTGGTGCATAGCGCCCCGCTAATACAGAGTTCAGCTCTACGCTGAATCCTGTTAAGTACTGAGCAGTACGAAGATTTATCAAGAGCTGTCCACCATACCGTAATACCATACATCAATATGGGCCTAATAACAGCTATATATAGCCATTGGGTGATGCGAGGTTGAAGACCCCACTTCTTACCAATAGCTTTCTGACATAGAAGAAGCGCAACATTGGCTTTTCTTGCACGCTCTAGAGTGTTTTTCTTCCAAGTGAGTTTCCTGTCGAAAACTATACCTAAAAATTTGGCTTCCTCCTTCACATGTATCACAGAACCTCGTAGAGAGGGTGGAGAAAGATTCGGGACCGTATGTTTTCTTGTGAAAACTACGATTTCAGTTTTATTGGGATTCACCCCAAGGCCACATTTTTGTGTCCAATTGTTTAGGATATTAAGACCATTTTGTAGAATATCCCTAAGAGTGGTAGTATATTTTCCGGTGACTGTTATCGCAATATCATCCGCATATGCAATAGTTTCGCATCCCTCCGCCTTCAGTTGTATTAGCAGTTCATTCACCACTATGTTCCAAAGGAGAGGGGAGAGTACTCCTCCTTGGGGGTACCTCTATTTACCCTTCTGCGTGCCGTTGATGAGCCCATCGTTGCTTCAATGAGTCTGCCAGTTAGCAGCTGATTTATAAAGCCAATGAGCGCATCATCAACACCCAGACGCGAGATCGCGCTTACTATTGCACTCGGGAGTATATTGTTAAAGGCCCCTTCAATATCTACAAAAGCAACCACACAAAATTCTTTGAGTTTTATGGATTTTTCTATTCTGTAAGTGAGGGAGTGGAGAGCTGTCTCTGTAGATTTTCCCTTAGTGTAGGCATGCTGTGAGGGGGACCACTGGTTGGGGCTTACAGCACGCCTTACTTCTACGTCTATTATTCTTTCAAGAGCCTTCAACATGAAAGAGGAGAGGCTTATAGGACGGAGTTCATTGGGGTTATGGTGCGAGGTTTTACCAGCTTTGGGTATAAAAACTACTCTAACCTCCCTCCATTTAATCGGGACATAGTTAAATAAGAAACAATGTCTAAAAATTGCCAAAAGCCGGTTGTGTATTAACTCCCACGAATTCTGAAGCTCAATTGAATGAATACCATCCGGTCCTGGTGATTTGTAGGGTTTAAAACTAAAAATAGCCCATTTGACGATCTGCAGGTTAACCTTAATAGAGTTAACCGGTGAGAGATTAAGGCACTCTGAGGATGCAGCTACCGAAGTAAAGATCCCGGAAAGTGAGTATCTAGTAGTAATTGTAAAGATTCGCTACTATTATTGCACCATGTCCCGTCAGATTTTTTGAGTAACTCTGGGACAGATGGATTTTTGGATAAGATTTTACGCAGTCTAGAGGTTTCAGAATTGCTATTTATT